GAACCTTTATTATCTGAGCCATCTCCCTGACTCTATTCAGGGACTGATGATGTGAGGCAAGGCCTCACTATATAGCCCAAGCTGGCCTTGAACTTACAATCCTCCTGTCTTAGGCTCCTGAGTACTGGAATTTCAGGCATACATCACTATATATTTATAATTTTTCTTTCATAGATGTGTTTCTAAGAAGCTTTTGCCCATTTAAAGGCAACAAGATTTCCTACATTTTCTTCTAAAAATCTATAGTTTAATTTATTTTCATTTTTTAAATGAATGAGGCAATTTATTAATCCAGCATCCTTTGTCCTAATTAATGCTTCTTACTGACAGCTGTCACCTGTCCAGATCTCTCTGTCCCTGAGGTGTTATCTTGTGGCCCCCATCTTTGTCCTTCTGCACCATTTTTGGCCCTTGCAAGGCGTTGAGGACCCAGCAGGCACATTCTTGGAGCCTCAGGAGAAGTGGCTAAGCCTGACAGTTTCTCTCCTGTCTTCTGTGGCTCTTGGTCACGGAGCTAATCCCAGCACCACAGCAAAGGTACAGATGCTGTGCTGTGGAAGTAGCTTATGTGCAGAACCAGTTCTCATCCCAGGGAGCAAGCTCTTTATGTTTGGCCAGCTTGACTGTGTCCACCCATTCAGGGACTCTCAGCTTCCTGGACTTTCTGAAGGCTGCCAGAGCTCTGACAAACTCCTGCTGGTTAACATCTTTTATAGTAACTCCAGGCATCACACCACCCGCAAGCTGCCAGCTAGGGGAAAGGGAATGACAGGGCTGCCTGGACACATGAGTTGAGAGTCTAGTTTAATTTCTTATAATTAAATCTATAATCAATTTTTTGTTATATAAAGAAATAAAAGATCATGTTTACAGTTTATACCCAACCGTTTCAGCACTTTTGACTGAAAAGGTCATCATTTCCTTATTGAATTTTCTGGCACTGTCTTAGTTAGCTTCAGCTGTCAACTTGACACAGTCTAGAGTCATCTGAGGAAGCATCACCTGAGAGACCGGCCAGTGATCTGTGGCCCTATCTGTTTTAATTGATGACTAATGTGGGAGAGTCCAGCCTACTGCAGGTTATGCCATTCCTGGGCAGGTAGACCTGGAGCTTTTTAAGAAAGCTAGGTGTGCATGAGCTTGTGAGCAAGGAAAATAAGCAGAAAGCAGTGTTCCTCACAGCTCCTGCCCTGTGTTCCTGTCCTGACTTTCCTCAGTGATGATCTGAAGTATAAGCCAAATAAACTTTTTTCTCTTCATGTTGCTTTTGGTAAGTGTTTTTATCACAACAACAGAAAGAAAACTAGGATTGGCATCTTTGTTAAAATCAAATTTATAGCAAAGCATGGTTAGTATATCTGTCCCATCGTTGACAAGGCTGAGGCCAGAGGATTGTGAATTCAAAGGCAGCTGAAACTACCTAGAGAGCCCCATGCCTGCTTGGGTTACATAATAAGACTCTGTCTCAAAAGCTGAAAATCATTCCAATAATATGGTAAGGAGGGGCTGGAGAGATGGCTCAGTGTTAGGAGCACTTCCAGCTCTTGCAGAGGACTCAGTTTCCAACAGCCATAGTGGCCCACAACCATCTATAACTCCAGTTCCAAGGGATCCAATGCCTTCTTCTGACTTCTGTGGGCACAATGCACACATGTAGTACACATACATAGAAGTGGGCAAAACATCCACACGTGAAAAAAATAACTCTAAAAATTTTTTAATTAAACAAAAGAGGTATGGATTTATTTCTAGATTTTTCTTTTCTATCCCATCTATCAATCATACAAATACAATACTATTTCCCTATTTTGTTTATTACAGTTCCATACTAAATTTTAAGATCACATTATATAAGCCTTCCAACTGACTTTCTAAAATTTATTTTTAATATTTCATTCTTTGCAATCCATACTAATTTCAGAGCTAACTTATTATTAGTTCCTACCAAAAAAGGCTGGCTGGAATCCTGAAGGCATATTATTAAATATACTGGGAGATAACTGACATTTAAACAATACTGAATCTTCTAGATCATAAACGAGACATGTTGCTTTCTAACACCTCTGAAAAACATTGTGTAGTTTTAGCATGCAAGTCTTACACTTTCTATGCAAAATTCATACCTAAAATTTTTTATCTTTTATACTATACTGATTAGAATTATTTTTTTTATTTACTTATTTCTGTGTATGTGTGTGAGTATATGTCCTTGTGTGCAAACCTGTAGGCCAGAAGAGCGTATGAGATCCCTCAGAGCTAGAGCAACAGATACTGTTTGCTGGACTTGTCATGTGAGTGGTAAGAATCCTAACTCTAGCTCTTCCTGACTGCACAAAAGCACATTAACTGCTAAGTCATCTCTGCAGCCCACTTCCTTTGGTTTTTCTGATACAGGATCTTACTGTCTGCACCACAAGCTGGCCTTGAACTCATGGCAATCCTCCTGCTTTTGCCTCTCAAATGCTGGGATACTTTCTTAATTTTACTTGCAGTTTACCATAGCTAATACATAGAAACTCAAGTGATTTTTGCATACTAACCTTAGATCCAAAGACCTTGCCAAACTTATCTGTTAGTAATTTTTTATAAATTCCCTAGATTAGATAAAAGTAGAGAAATCAGGTATTCTTGGCTTTTTTCTTGATTATGGGGAAAACAGTTTTTATCCATTAAGGGTGACATTTGCTGTAGGCTTTTTTCCAGCCTTTAATAATTTAGGGGACCTACCTTCATCTCTTACTTCATCATTAAAAATTTTACAAATGCATAACATTTTGTCAAGTGTTTTTACTGTGTCTACTGAGTAAATCATATGGTTTAGGTCTTTATTCCATTAGTCACAGTAAAATAGTACTGTGACCTGATATACTAATTTTTTGTTTTCATTTAAAATTTTTCCTTTTTTATTTTTAATTTAGCTTTTTTGTTTGTTTAATCTAACTAAGTACCTTTTAAAAAAAATCATAGTTTTTTTCACCTATCCTAAACACAAAACCCATGAAAGTAGGAACTGCTTATCTTTTTCAGGATATTAAAACATTTTTTAAGGCTTTCTTTTTCATTCAATGTTTTGACCATATTTTCCTCTTCTCCAACTCTTCCCAGATTCTACCCCACCCACCCAATCTCCTGTGCTTTCTCTCAAAATACACACACACACACACACACACACACACACACACGTTAACAAGGAACTCTGACAGGGTGCACTAAAAGGCATATGGTAAGATGCACAGAAAGAAGAATTAAGAAAACCTAAATTGGTTGTGGGGAGATTTCTTACTCTGCAGCAAGAGGTAAAATCCTTTTAAGGACCAGGAAACCAAAACCCAGACAAAAGCACATGGACCTGTTAAGGATTACAAGGTTAGAGGTCACTAAACAATACCTGATTTCCCGAATTCACAGAATACGTAGACAAGATTTAGACAGTTAGAAATGAAATTTGGAGATTCATCTGAACCCCATCTTCCATTAATATAAGGGAGGGCTGTAGGAAATTGTGAAGTTAATTGTGTACTGAGTAGCTCAAACAGCTGTGGTAGTAATGTGTTCCCCAAAATATTGTGTACCCTAATAAACTTATCTGGAGTCAGAGAACAGAAAAGCCACTAGATACTTAGGATAGGCGGTGGTAGCACAGGCCTTTAATCCTAGCATTCCAGAGGCAGAAATCCATCTGTTCAAGGATACAGCCAAGCATGGTGACTCACGCCTTTAATCCCAGGGAGTGATGGCAGATAGCAGAAAGTTATATAAGGTGTGAAGACCAGGAACTAGAAGCATTTGGCTGGTTAAGCTTTTAGGTTTTGAGCAGCACAGTTCAGCTGAGAGCCATTCGGATATGAGGACACAGAGGCTTCCAGTCTGAGGAAACAAGATCAGCTGAGAAGTTGGCCAGGTGAGGTTAGCTGTGGCTCGTTCTGTCTCTCTGATCTTCCAGTGTTCACCCCAATACTTGGCTCCGGGTTTGATTTTATTAATAAGAACTTTTAAGATTCTGCTACAAACAGCTTTTTAGGTGATTGGCTTATAAAGAAACACACAGATAATGGTTAAATATATCCCACCAAAGATTCAGAGGTAACTTAAATAAGTAGAACACTCTTGGTTGTACTTACCCATGCTTTTAAAGTGATGATAAAGGTCTGCAATAGATCTTTTCAAAAAAAGTCCCACACCAAGAATGAACTGGCATTTATGAACGCTTTCCAAGGAAGTGAGACCCTAGATCTAGATTTATATTCTTTTCTTCGGGCTTTTCCTCAAGAAAATCAAATTACAAATGGCTACCCAGCAAACGCTCAATGACTAATTTGTACCAACACCAGTATTTCTTGTTCCCGTTTGGTGAATGAGATACTAAAATTTAACCCTCCCTTCTACTGTTACAAATTAACCAGCTGGCATTCTGAATTACACAGCAGTTCTCGGTTGTTTGGTTATCACGAAGAAGCTGAAGACTGCTCAGTTCTAAGGGTAATGTACAAAGAAGCTTAAGAACCTGAAAAACTGGAAGGCTCGCCTCTAAACCAGTAACTGAAAAAAAAAAAAAAAAATGGGGGCCAAAGGCTAGATGTAGGCCAAATAAGAATTTTATTTGATTGGTACAGTGGTGGTGATTGTATTAATGAGGAGGAGGAAGATGGAGAGAAAAGACGAAGAGAGGAAGAGGACTACCACTCTCTTAAAAAATGTGGATATTTCTTTGTAAAAAGTATGTACTTCCAGCTTCTAATAAAAGTCTGGCAATACTGGATCTGAACTGTCATATGGTATGACAAGAGATAAGAAACCATATTCCTATTTACCTGGGACATTTGCTACTGAAGCCACATATCAACTGTCCGTTATCATTATCCATGCACTGCTGTTTTTCTTATAAAATTCAAAGAATAAAAGAATGCACAGTTGGTGGATAAGTGCATATTCTTTAAAAAGTATGATCCACTCTTCTCTTTAAAGCAGTAACAAAGCTAGAATCAAAGAAATCAATTTACCTTAATCTGAGTCTGTTCGATTGACTTTTCCCATATCTGCTGATCATATGCTCCAATCTGAAATAAGGAGCAGGCTATTTAAATGATGCAAAGGCAATCTCTGTATCTAAGTCAAACCTCACAGAGCCATGAGTCTATGAAATATGTTTTCCGGAAAATGTTATTTCTCACATAGTAAATTCATACGTCCCAGGGCTATTTCCAAAAACAAAACAAAGGGCTGGGTCGAGAAAGTAAAAAGGCAACACCTCAAATATTTTAAAGATCACCTAAAAGATATTTCCACTCCCTAAGAAAAATATCAATAGGAATACCAGAGAGGAATAAAAGGTAAGGGACAGCTCAATCAGACGATAATAGCAATCTGAGTCATGCAGATAAGAATTTCATTCTTTGTCTTTATAAAAAAAATTTAAGTTTGATAATTTGCAAAGCAAAGCATTGCAGTAGTTTGTGTATGCAGCCTGGAGAAAGGTGACTTACAGCTCGCAACCTGGAACCTGAAACTGGGTTTATAATGACTCTGCACATCAATTTTTTTTCAGTTATGTGGAGATATTATATACGAATATTTGACATTACCAAACTTAAGGAAAGTAACACTATTATTTATGGGAGTTTTTCTGCAGAAGTATGGTTTACAAAATAATAATACTGCTGTTACCTTCTTCTGATACCACGATATGGCATCTCTCTCACTTGAGGCCATCTGTGTCTCCAGCCAGAGAGTGGGATGTCACTGAAAACGAAGGAAATGCCTCAGTAAGTCTAGTTGTTGAAGGTTATTGTCCCGTTTGGGGTATGACTTAAAATCTGCTTCTCTCGGCCTCTCCATGAGCTGCTCTTTCTCCGGCTGTTCGCCAGGAAGAAAAAGAAGAGGAGGAGGGTGGGGGGAATGGGCGCAGCGGAGACCGAGAAGCCTCTGCACCGTCCGGTGCAAGTGTGGATGCGGGGCCAGCGAGGCCCCGAGCCGGCCTCCCGCGCCCTCCGCCTTCCCGCAGCCGGCTCACCTGGTACCCGCTGCCAGGCAGGCTGCCGGCCGGGCCCCCGCTCCTCAGTGACCCCGGCCGGGCCGGGAGGCCGGGGGCGAGGCGGCGGGCCCGGCAGGCCGCATCTTCCCCCCGAGGCCGGGACACCGGCGGGGCCGTTACCATGGAGACCGCGGCGGCCAGCCCAGCCCCTGAAGCAGCGGGGCGCCCGGCGCCCTGAGGAGCGCAGCCTGCCGCCGCAGACGCCCGACCTAGTCGGCCACCGAACGGGCCATGGGAGAAGCCAGGAACCAACTGGGAAATGGGGGCAAGGCAGCGGGAAGGGCGCCTTCTCCAGCCACCTCGGCACCCGCAAGGGCTGGAGGCCAGCAGCGGGCCCCGGGCCGGAGCGGCGGCGCGCGTCGTCCGTGAGGGACTGGCGGCGGCTCGACGAGCTCTGGGTGCGATCAGCCGCTTCCGCCTTCCGGCTCCGCCCCCGGCCGCCTTCCCGCCGCTTGGGCCTCCTTGAGGTGGAGGCCGCCGGCCGCGCCGCCAGTAACCCTAGACGCTTAACGGAAAGTCACCTCAGAAACGACCCTCCCAGCCCATCGATCCCCGGGAGGCTGGTCCCGATAGTCCAGAGGTTCCTGTGCGGGTCTGTAGCGTTTGGTGTGGTGTTACTTCATATCCGTGTCCCTTTGGGTGGACGAGGGCAGAAAGCAGTGGGGCCACGAGCCCCCCGCACGAGTTCTCCGTTCCTGTGGATGGACAAATGCTTGTGAATCGGCGCGGCCTGGAACGCGGGCGGGCGGGCGGGCGGGCTGTGGCTCAGCGATTCCCTCCCTCGGCTCTCGGCCGCTCTGACTTCGGCTTTCTGGTGCCCACACGAGCCTAGGAGAGGATGCTCGGGGCTCGGACCGCACTGGGGCTTTCCCCACAGCGGTGGAAACGGCTGTTGTTAGTGATTCCAGCAGAGGTCAGGAGAAAGGGCACTTGCACTCTGATGTGACTATCTAAATGTATGCCCACGGGGTTTCTAAGCCGCTCTCTTTTCTGTACTTTTTGTGCACCATTAATGGCTTGTTCCCGGAGGCCATTGTCTTCTACTTACTTAAAGCTGTGTCCGTTCTTGCCATGGGCACAAAGCACAAAGGTGATGTAAGGCTAGTAATAATAGATAATAGCTGTCACTTGCGACTAAGAGGCAGTCTCCACCCTAGGCTTTCTTGTAAGTCATTAAAACCGTATCAAATGAAAGTTTTCCATAATGCAAACCTACTAAAATGTTAACACCCACAGGAATTTTTAAAAATTACTTCACCTACACATTGGCAGTGGTCTCCACTGCTTTTTACCCCTTAACTTTTAAGGGGTAAACTAAAAGCTGTTGAGCCCTTCAGTACTGCTGAACATTGTAATTCAAGGCAACGACCAACTAATTGGTAAATGACAAAAAAAAAAAATTAAGACCTAAAATCAACACTAATAACAAAAGTCTTCATTGCTGAACACACAGAAGAGGTTTTCTGGGCTGTGGGCAGTATTTGGGGAAATAAAATTAGTGGTACGGTAGCAAATCGTTTTCCAGGAGCCCTGGTAAAATGTTTCAGTGTTTTATTAAATGCTACTGAACAAGGCAGAACTTTGAACCCAAAACAGATAGCATTCAATCCCTGTTTGCAGTAATGAACTTGCAGTGATTTTAGGAAATTGATTCTCACCTGTGTTATGGAAATAATGACTGAGAACCACGGATGAGATACCCAGAGATGCCTACTAAGTGCTTTCAGGACAAGCACCTCAACTACAGAGTTCACCCAAACTCTTTTGTTGTGTCCCATAGTCAGCCCGTCCACATCAGCTTAGTCACCATCTTCATTACCATGCCATGCATTTTCGCAAATACCTGCAGTGCCAAAATAAACGCTTAAGGCAGGTCTAAGCACTTGTAAATGATTTTAAGCAGCAATAAGAATAACTGTCACAAACGCAAGCTTCATTTTTCTTCAAAACTAGTTGCACCTCAATCTAGATGTCTCTGACCTTTTCTTTGGGAAAGAAAAGTCCAAGGTTTTCTTCAAAAGCTTAAAGATAATAGGGCACAAAGAAGGAGGTGGGGGAGGGGACTATTAGTACAGGTTCGAGGCAATGAGAACTCCCATGTGCTATTCATTTTGTGATGAAACATCAGTAAAGGACAAATCAGACTTTGTTTATTAAAAAAATACTTTACAGGAAAAAAAAACTATGCATTCCATTGTCCTATTTTACAAAGAAATAGCTTAACAATTTAACACTGAGACAGCTACAAAAAAAGCACTGTGTTAAAAGGATTATTATTCACACAAATTTAGATTTAAGACTATTCATTAAAAACCTTTTAAAACACTTGTTAATGTCAATAAACAAACTAAGGCCACACAAACGCAAATAGTCCGCCAGGCAAATTATACATTTCATCTATATGCAAAGACCTCTTAGATAAATTAAAGCCACAGGAAAAAAAAAAGTCTTAGCTGCCAATCAAAATGAAGTTTAGTCACAGAAAACACTATTACATGAAAATTTACAACATGTGATAGAAGTAGTACATAAGTATTTCTTTAGAGAGAATTGAAAAGTGCTATATTTTAAGAGACAGTGGTCTCAACTACATGCACAAGTGGATCCTAAAAAATTTATGAAGATTTTTTAAAATGGAAGGCCATAATATTTATGGATACTTGCTTTTAAAGCAACAGACTTCCAGGATGAGGGTAAGTCCTTTATGCACTTAAGAAAAACACTGGTGTTGTGCATCTCCTCTACCTGCATGACCAGTAAATACAGCTACAGACTGTCTTGAAAACATGAAACTTAGCACAAATGTGAACCTCTGGCATGTGCTACTGAAAGGATGAAACAGATTTATTAGAAAGACACAAACTCAGTAATTCTAATATCCTCAATAAATACAAATAAATTTCAAAGGCAAATACAGATGAAAATATAATGGGCTAATATTAATGATAAAGGATATATTCACTAGGAATATATTTTCATGGATTTTGGAGTCTTGTTCCTATATTAACTCTCCTTCTAGACAATATTTATACAGGGAAAAGCAATAAACAAAAGTTTCTCAAGTCATTAGGTGAGATCTTTATGCCTGTTAAGACTGATACATCTGTTCCTAAAGTTTAGTAAATGATCTGTAAGTTCCTTTCCCCATACAAGAGCCTGTAATATTAGTGAACTGATAGTTCAACTGTTTGAGGGGACAGGGCACTTTCTAAAAGTCTTTAAGTAAAAATAATGCATCAGTAAAACTTGTAAGTACTGAATAGGCAAGTACAATTAAGCCTAAGAATTCATTTTTCAAGAGTTAAACTTTGGAAGAGGGAACCAATATGGAGGTTATTATTGCTTTATGAATTTGGGACACCTCTTAGAATCGTAACCCTAACTCCTAGCCTATCTTGATAAGTACAGAATGACCTCTGGGGAAGGGGAAGACTTTTATGCTTTTTAATAGTTACCATAAAATCATTATATTTGCTGTCAGGAATATTCGCTTATTAGGTCCTTTCCATGACATATTTTTAAAATATCCCTCTGATCCACAAAGTACTAAAACACATAGCCACATTCTGCAAGTAATCTCAAGGGTTGGCACAACAGATGACATACCAGAAAGGAAGATCAGTTTCGATTTCAGTTACAACTTCACTGCCATCGCTACTTTACAAATCAGAGGACGCCAGACTGCTCCATGCCTCACTCCACCAAACCAAATAGTTTAATGATTTAGAAAAGTTGCAATCATTTGTATCGCTCAACTAGGACAGTTTTGAAAGCAGCAAGAAACTCAAAACTTCTGCTTTTATATTCATCAGTCTTTTAAAGCATGCTATCAAAATCTAATACTCACATAGGACATTCAGAGTTTCCAGATACATTACTAGCTAAATGTTTCTTTCCATTCTATTGCAATCTAATATACAATGACTTCATTAGTACATGATTTTCAACATTTTTATATTCTTTTATTGTTTATACTGGAGGTGAGGGTAGACTGTTTTGTAAAAAGGAAAATGGAGATTTGCGTTTGATTGTAGGTCTTTGCAGATCCGCTGGTTCCTGAGTGATTACACACAGTGCTGGCTGTCAGGAGACAGTCTCCTTGGTTTTAGGTAATGACCAGCTTAGATGACAGATGGCATCTGCTGGATGGCAAGTGGGAGATGGGGAAATCGGATCTTGGAAGACAAGAAAAACAAAAATAAAACTTTTTGCGTTAACAGCTTTTTCTCTTCATGATTACTTTTAAAAGCAAAGGTTGCCTGAGAAGAATTTTTCTTTGCACAGCCTGGTAAAGCTCTATGAAATTCTTCTGGACAGAAAAATAAAAATAAGAAATAACCCAAACCCATTCATTTTGTGATAAACCCCTTCTCCACAAAGTAACAACAAAAAATACCCTCAAAGGTCCCTTAAAAACTAGTTTGATAAACTAGAATTTATACACAGGATTTAAAAACACCCCTGTAATAATCACATGACCTTTCACACCATTCTAATTACCTTATTTACAAAGATAACTAAAAGCAACATCACTTCCAATTCATAAATGGTTTACATTGAAGTGTTTCCCTATTTATTTGTCTTCATCCTTTGTAACAGAGAATACATACATATACATATATATAAGGAATAATACAGATTCTAACTAATCACTGTAGTATTTGCTGATGGTTACTTTTCTATCGGTTTACACAGTGACCTCTATACTTTGCTAATATGCATTTAACTACACAACAGTATTGCACAAAGTAATATTTATATAAGATTTAACCTATTTCAGAATATTTTTAGAGAAAATTCATATTTGATATTTCCAAAGATGCAGCTAAGTTCCATGGTGACAGACATAGTAAAGCAGCATCTTTTTCTTTTGCCTATGTTAATGCAAATATTTCAAATCTCACCATCCAGGAAAAAAAAAATCAAATTGCACTGTAACCAGGTAGATACAAGAATCTGGTCTTAGGTGTGGGGAGTACTCTTCCTTTAGTAAATAAAAGGCCTAATGAGTTATCAACTAAGAGAAAGTAGAATGCATAGCACATGAACATTCCAAATAAGAGAAAGACCACTACTTCTATGAAGGAAGCCTATTGAAAGAAGGCCTATATTGAAAACAAAGTAAATATCCAGACCCTAAGCTTCAGCCCACCTGAAACTCTAGGATGGAAGTCTAATGCCTGTTACTAGAAAATAGCAACACGACTAACAATGAACAAACCCAGGTATTCACCAGATAAAATTGTGAAGATTTCAAAAGTAGATGCCAAGTCACAAGAATAGTTTCTCCTAAGTTTGATGCTCAGATATGGCAGGCCTCATCAGTAAGACTGATATGAATCTCTAACTTTGATATTTGTGATCAGTTTAGGGAAAGTATCCACAGGAAATGTGAGGATACTAGGAAAAGGAACAACGGGTC